TCTTCTTGTGGCCGTCGAACTCCTTTGCTATGGCTGCTTCCCACAGCACCTTGTACTTGGAGTTAAGGACATCCTTGTACGTCAAGGGCACGCACTCTACATCACTTGGCTTCTGGCCGAAGGGCGAGGGGATACATAGCTTCGGGTCATGAAGAGGTGGCGATGACCCGTCGTCCCCTGCCTCTGCACCGAACGCCTCCTCCTGCAGCTCGGTGCCGTACGGCAGCTCATGCATCTCACGCCGGTACTCGATGTTGACCTGCTCCTCGTCGTACCGCTCCCGCACCAGCGAGTTGGAAACGTAGTCCACGATGATCTCCGCCAGCAGCGCTTGCTCGGCGTCTGGCTCGGCGTCTGGACCCGGCGGCTCCTCGGGGCCTTGCAGCTCCCGGGTCTCCCTTCGTGTGCGGCCGCGCTCGAGCCCGTGGCGCAGCGGTCCTTCCTTCGAGGCGCCCCAGAGGAGCCGACGCCCTTCGCGGCCCGGCGGGTAGCGGCTGTCGGCGGGATCAAACTTGTACTCCTCGAGTTGCTCGGAGTCTTCGCCGGGTTCGCTGCCGCCGCCACCGCCATCTCCAGANCCCTTCAAGGCGCCCCAGAGGAGCCGACGCCCTTCGCGACCCGGCGGGTAGCGGCTGTCGGCGGGATCAAACTTGTACTCCTCGAGTTGCTCGGAGTCTTCGCCGGGTTCGCTGCCGCCGCCACCGCCATCTCCAGAGGCGCCGGGCTCACTGCCGCTGGCGCCGCCGCCGTCGTCGTCGCCGGGGGCGTTGCTGGTGCTGCTGCTGCTGCTGCTGCGGTCGCTGCTACTGCTGCTGCCGCTGCTGCTTCCATCGAAGTCGCCTCCTCCCGAAGGAGGCGACAGGGGGACGCCCGAACCAGCGTCCCCGGTCCCGTTGCCGGGTGCCGCCGGCGCCTTCTCTTGCACCGGCAGCGTCGCTCGCCCAGCCTCCGTCACGTCGAGGTCGGAATCAGACTCACTCTCCGAGTCTTTCCCCCCCCCCGCACCTTGACGGGACGTGCTCTGCTTGCTCTCGTCCTCCCCGCCCTCCTCGTCGTCTGCGAGAGGCAGCAGCTGCGGGGAAGCGGGCAAAGCGGCGGGCATGTGACGCCAGGTGAATTTCGGGACTTGACCACGGTATCAGCTTCGGTCAACAAGCGGATGCAGTCACGGGGGTGATTGTGGGCAGGCCCAAGGTACCATCCTTTCGCGCCCTTGGGTTGCGACTTTGCCTTTCTTCTCGATTTGAACACGAGAGGTTTGAGGAACGGGTGTGTAGACCCGACCGGCGGCGGCGTACCGTGGAACAGCTCGTACGGTGATTTGTGTCCAGGGTTGCCGGTAGTGACGGTGCAGTTCATCTTGTGGCACTCACAAGAAATGGCCTCGGCCCACAAGCCGGGGCTGACTGGTGCGTCGGGGAACATCTCTTTCGCTTGGATGCGGGAGGCAAGCGCAGAATCAGCAAGCAACCCCAACGCTCGTTCCGCTACACCGTTGTACTTGGGGGTGTTGGGGGGCGTGAATTCTTGCTTGATGCCGTATCTACGGCAGACCTCCGCAAACTGGCCCTGGAATTCTCCGCCGCCGTCAGTACGTGCGACAAACACCTCACACGGGACGGTTTCTGCTCTGTAGTCCGCCAGATGTGGCTCGAACGCGGCAGCGGCGTCAGACTTGTGCTTCAGAAAGAAAACA